CTCACATGCCTTAACAGATGAGGGGTTAGTTCTCATTTATGACCTGTGAATTCACATGTTAACCCTTTTTTCTTCATTTGGCATGTAACTCCAGGGCAACACCACAGTCAGCAAGGGAAGAGATAAAGGGCCAGGCTCATTCTCCATCCAACAGTATAATGTGACTTGACTTCAAACGCCTATTTTCAAACATACCACTATGTTTTGTCAATTATGTTTACTTAACCAACTCTTTTAAACAAAGCAAGATAAGATTATGAACCTATGTCGTGAGATAATCTTTACACCTTAAACCTTAAATCAAAAATATTCCCTTATGTCTTCTTTAAACCAAACAGTAGACTGGGTTATTTAGTTAAGAATGTTTGCCCTGAACATCGTACTCTTTTGAAGAATTATCTATACGGGGTCCAACTGACAACGACCACTGGAAAGGGCAGACAGGAAGCTTAGGGAGCAGCTCATGTTAATGAGGGAGGAACAGTCTGGAAAAGGGGGGCAAGACTGGCTGTACACTTGAAGAATGTAATCAATGGCACTGAATTGTACATGCAGAAATCGTTGAATTGGTGTGTGTTTTGCTGTGTATACTTTCAATAACAATAAAAAGGGAGGAGGAGATTATGAAACTAGTTCTATTCACTATAGAGATGATGGTTGTTATGTATTGAATTGTGTCCCCCCAAAATATCTGTCAACTTGGCGGGTCATGATTCCCAGTATTGTATGATTGTGTACCATTTTGTAATCCAACGTGATTTCCTTATGTGTTGTAAACTCTATCACTATGATGTAATAAAATGGATTACCAGCAGTTATACCGATGAGGTCTACAAGACTGGATAGTGTCTTAAGCCAATCTCTTTTGAGATATAAAAGAAAGAAGTGAGCAGAGACACACGGGAACCTCATGCCGCCAAGAAGCAGTGCCGGGAGCGGAGCACGTCCTTTGGACCCGAGGTTCCTGTGCAGAGAAGCTCCCAAACCAAGGGAAGACTGATGACATGGACTTTCCTTCAGAGCTGAAAGAAACTGTTACCTTGGAGCTGATGCCCTGAATTTGGACTTGCAGCCTACTGGACTGTGAGAGAATAAACTTCTCTTTGTTGAAGCCATCTGCTTGTGATATTTCTGTTACAGCAGCACTAGGTGACTAAGACAATGGTGATGACAACGATGATGATGATGATAGTGGTGGTGGTGGTAGTGATAATGACAACCGATTTTAGTATCCGACTCTTACCATTAAAGAGGCATTAACTCACCTTTACGGAACTCCGCAAAGTTTAGCAGAAATGCTTTTTCTAAAAAGCTACTGTTCACCAAAAATAAATAAATAATTGATCTCTAATAAATACAGAAATAATGTATAAAAAGAATGAGTAAACTAACTGTAATACAATTAATATTGCTGGCCTCAAAAGTAACCCACTGCCCTCAAGCCAAATTCCGACTCATAGCAACCCTATAGGACGTACTAGAACTGCCCCATAGGGTTTCCAAGGCTGTAAATCCTTACAGAAGCAGACTGCCACATCTTTCTCCCGTGGAGCGGGTGGTAGATTCGAACTGCCCACCTTTTAGTTAGCAGCCAAGCGCTTAACCGCTACGCCACATTTCTGCCTTAAGGGTAGAAATGTAAATAAAATTTCCTCCATATAGGTCAAAAGAATAAATGAACTCTTACCTGAGGATAAGCCATACTTTTCCACTTTTATTAAAGTATGTTCGGCAACTTGAACCCTTTAGCTATTACTATTTCTGATACAAATTAAGCCAGAAATACCTTCTGCCCCCGTGATTTCTGAGGACAGGACTGTTGGAAACAAACCACTCAGAAGCAGGGCTCCTCCTTACTCAGCTATAGTAGAAAATCAATCTTTATTAAAACCAGCCTTTTCTTAGATGCCTTCATGAGAAAGTGATGAAACAATCAGAGCTAAATGTATTTATTAGTTTATGTGTTCATGTGGTAGGGAAGAAAACATGAATCCTGTGATGATCCAGACTGCTCTTATTTAGAAGTTCTCATTTATCAACATATTGTTACAACTGGAGAAGCCAGATAAAGCAAAGGATGTGAGGACAAGGAGGAGAAATGTCTTGATTCTTAAGTCCTAACATTACAGGAAGCATCTGCTCTGAGAACAATAACTCACAGCTTCTGATAATAGAGCAACATTCTCCTTTGAGAGAGGGAGAATACTCCTAGCAAAGGTATTTTCAATGAAACTGGGCAGATGTCTGTGGGCAGATCTCCCCATGCAGGTTTTCACAGAGTCAAAAATGGCCCATGAAAGAACCAGCATTTTCCTTCTTTCTTTTTCAAAGACCGACCCATTCTGCTCCCAGTACAGTGTTGTCCAACCCAGTTTTGAGCACTTCAGCTTTCTCAAGGGAATATGATGGACTCTCCTTCCAAAAGAAAAATCTAAGTATAAAGTCAGAAACCAAGCCATACTAATACACACCCCCAGTACTGGTACTATTTGTTTGCAGACAAGGAAAAGAAAAGAGTGACAGGGAAGACTGCTGAAAAGACAATGACAGGAGAAATTCTAGAATAAGAGCATGTAAACACTCAAGCAAAGCCCCAACTATTTCTCAATATCACCCATGTTATCTGACACCTCTGTATTGCAGTAAAACTGCCACACTAGTAGAGCCAAAATTATAAATTCTTAATGAACAAATAATAAATGTGGAACAGCCTGAAGTATTGTCTACTGTGATTTAGTATTTAAATATTTTCTTTAGCAATTATCAAAAGACCAGGATTCATTCATTTTCAGAAATAATAGTTCAATAACGAAAGTTGAGCTCTGCCTCCATACGAAAAGGAAATGACACTTCCTGCATCATCTTCTTCTTGGATATTATTACTAGTAACATTAACATATGTTGTTTATTGAGTGCCTAATAGGTGTTATGGAGCCCTGGTGGCACAGTGGTTAAGAGCTCAGCTGCTAACCAAAAGGCTGGCAGTTCGAATCCACCAGCTGCTCCTTGGAAACCCTATGGGGCAGTTCTACCCTGTCCTATAGGGTCACTATAAGTCAGAATCGACTCAATAGCAATGAGTTTCGAATAGGTGTTATATACCGAATTTAACTTTATAACTGTCCTAGGACATAAGTTTCTCTATCCCAATTTTACAGATGAGGAAACTGAGGCTTAGAGCCGTTAAAGAGTCTGCCCAAGATCAAGCAAGTAGTATAGACTAAGCGCTAGGACTCAGACTCAAACCTTAGCACCAACCTACACTTCCTTTCCAGGGAAATAAGACTTCCTACTTCCCTGACATGAGGGATAAGGTGGCCTGGCTCCTGTACATACCACCCCTTCCAAACATAACCACCCAGTCAATTTCTAGTGGGGAAAGAACCACTGATGCAGACAAACTTTTATTTTATCTTGTTTTTATGACAGTGTTAATTCTCTAGGCTGTAATAAATTGTTGTGGAATCCTATCCACTCTTTATTATGTGACCTTACATGATTTTTTTTTAAAGATAATTCTTAACATTATAGGAATTTATGCCTCAATTTCTAGCCTTTAACTAAATATCTAAACATGCTTCTAGTTAACAGTGTTTATATTTGGGTGGTAGGATTATGGGTGATTTTGATTTATTTTCTTTACTTCTTGTTTATTGAGTTGTAAGCACTGAGCATGTACTACTTTCGCAATTAGAAGACAAAACACATATATGTTCATTTTAATGAAGAAAAGTTTAAATATTTATTACAAAAAAAATTATTTTTTACCTCAGTATTAAAAAAGAAGATATTCACTGACCCAAATTAATCCTGGTCCAGGTTAGAGCCCAAACTTGAAACAAGAGACTTTGGTTCTTATACAAGTGGCTCCCATTTTTACACTATTTTTCTTTTTTCCTGTTACTTAAAAAATTAGGAAACAACAAAATAAACAAAATTTAAAGGGAAAAAAAAATGTTGTGACTAAAGGCTCACAGGAATCTAACCCTGTATTTCCCCTAGGAGCAATGGTTCAGTATTCACTAATTCAGTGTTCACAGCTACTTTCCATGAATAATGAGAATTGACTATATTTTTTTAAACATTTGGATTCAAATGCTTTTAGGCAGGGTATACACCCTCCAGTGGGTCTCAGGTCCCACTACTCTCTATTGTTTTGACTGGTCCCTGTTGGCATTTTGTGGTGTAGCCCTTGTTCTATCTAGGAGCATCTAGAAAAGTATTAGAAACCCTGGATTTAGCTCAGTACTTGGCACCTGAGTAAAGGGTCCTGAGACCAGAAAGCATCAGCAGTAATAGATTCATATCTAAATATAATCACTAAACAGAGCAAACAGAATAGAAATAATGAGAATGTTGACAAATTGTGAAAATTGTAACCAATGTCACAGAAACAATCTGTATAAAAATTGTTAAATGGGATCCTAATTTGCTATGTAAACATTCACCTAAAACACAGTAAGATTTTTTTTTAAATTTAGGAAACATCCCTTAAAACTGAATTTTAACTATTGTATAGCTTTTATTTTCCTTACCTCAGGCCTATTTGGTAAAATCCTCTGTATGAAATAAATATGGGCTTCACGTCAGAGACTAGCTGTTAACTATGCCTGTTTCCTCTTCTAAGGCGCATGGTGGCCTGCACTTTCTAGCCTCCTTGGGAACTAGGTGTGGCCACTGGAATATGAGCAGATATGATATAAGCCACTTCTAGGCCTGGCTCATAAAAACCTCCTACATGAGAAACTCCAAACTCTTCCCTCATTGACTTGGGAGCTATCTGTTGATAATGATAGAGCCACAAAATGGAGGAAACTGGGTCTCTGAATGGAGAGCACCCAGGAGCACCATTTTGGACTTGACAGGAGTAATGATTAAAAGTGTATTATGTAAGCAACTGCAAGTTTGAAATTTTTCTGTTACCCTACCTAACATATGGCTTTATTAAGATATTCCAATTATCACTGCAGAAGGTTAAGACTCGATGCTGTTTCTCTTACCTTTTTCAAAGACCCCTTCTGCTTCCAGGACCGGGATAGTGACGTTTGATGCCATCTTCAACACCTCCGCCTTCACAGCGACCTGTGAAGGGCTGTGTTCCAGAAGCTCCACCCCAATGGTCACATTTCCTCCTGGTCTGATGATCCCAGGGGCTGTCACCAGAAACCGGGGCCTAAAGAGTTCCCAACAAGGGAAAAGTAAAGTTTCTTATCCTCACCATTTCCACTCTTTTGTGACCCTCAAATTTCACTAGATAAGACACCCTATGCTGTGCCAATTGCAATTGTTCCAATTAGCACTGCCCCAGTGTTCCATTTACCAACTGCACTGAAATGCTACTGAAACAACAATAAGTCCCATAAAACAATTTTAATTCAGTAATTCATGCACTACTACTAGGGAAGGTCTGTGTTATTATTTCCATTTTATAAACCACAAACAACACAGGATGAGCCACAATGTAAATGGCTTACAGTGGGACATGCAGAAGTACAAAGTATATGCCTCTAAGCCTCTCTTTTACAGACAATCTCATTCACCAGTGTAATTTTTTTCTAAGTTTAAAAAAAAAAAAAAAACTAGGATTTTGCTTGTTTCTTATTCAAATCTTTATGCTTGGGCATTTGCCCAAGGAAATGTCGTCTAACCAATACCATAGTTTGAAACATACCATCTGAAGATAAACTACTAGTGGTGAAAATTCCAGGTGTAGTAGAAAACCAAAAAAACCAAACCCATTGCCCTCCAGTCGATTCCGAATCATAGGGTCGCTATGAATCCAGGTGTAGAAGAGCATTAAAAAAGAAAAGTCACAAAAACAGCACTTTCCCCACCCAAGTTAAGGGTTAGGGCTCAACTGCAAAAACTTGTCAGAGTAAGGCACTTTTCAATATTTCAGAGCTCTCCTTAGTTATCTTTCTACAATACCTCCACCTGAACCCAGACTTCAGTCACCTGGGTCAAATTTTTGGCTGTGCCAAAGTCGAGCACCCTGCTTAGAAAAAATACGTAAGTTCTTCAGAGAAGAAGGCAGGTTATTTGGAACCAAAAAGTTTTAAAGGAAAAGGCAGTGGCAATGCGGACTGAAAATAGACTCTATTTAGAAAGTCAGAACGTCCATGAGATGCTTAAACAACTTCTTGGTTTAAGAGAGTAACCGTCCCACGGAGAACACGCCAAAGCGACATGTGGTCAACTCTCCAGGCCAGTGCCTGGCTGGTGCCTGCAGCCGCGCTGCCGTTTCCTACACCCTGCGGCACAGCCACAGCCACAGCCACAGCCACCTCCCGGAGTCCCGGACCCAGGCCGGCAGAGGCGGCCGTGCCCGCCGCGCCCCGGCGCCCACCCCGCGCGCTCACGCTCCTACCCGGGGGCCGCGGCCAGGGCGCCGGTCCACACGCAGAAAAGGTGGGTAACGGTCACGAGCGGCGGGCCCAGCATCTCGGCGGCGTCTGCCCAGGCGGCGGTCGGTTGCCGAGAAAATTCGCGGGCACTGCGGGGTGTGGCTTTCCACCTCCTCCCTATTTTTTCCCCCCTGACTCCTGAGTTTAGAAATCTGAAATGGGCGCGCCTAAAAGCAGAGTCGCAGATCTAAACTGAGACTGGACTTTGTGGCTCCACCCCTCCCACCCTCATCACAATGGCGCTGTTCTGGCAAATATCGCAAATCCAGGGGGTCAGAAAGCCGTCTCTAAATGCGGTCATCCCAACCTGGCCCCGGTATCCCTCCTCCCCGCGGGGAACGGAGGGCGGCGCCCACTTCCTCGGCCCACCGTGTTCCTCGGCTGTTTACACTAGCGCTCTACCGAAGATGCCCTTAGTGAATAAACAGGCCCATCCTTGTAAGGAGAAATTCATAGCAGCTATGTGAAGTGGAAAAAAATCAATCATTGTCCTCCAGACTATGAGTCAGAATTTTAGAGAAATGGCAAACACCACACACGCACACGCACACGCACGCACACACACACACACACGCCAGGGTGTATTTTTTGAGCAGTTAAATGTATGTAAGTGGGAACAGAAGAAAACCTTTTCTTTAAAAAATGTTTATGATATATTATTTTCCTCTCTGGGAAAAAAAATGTGGTTTCTCAGCTTAAAAAAAAAGAATTCTGGCACACGCAAAAATTAGGTGTTGCTACTTGGAACTCTGAAAAACAATTTTCTGGGGAGATGCTTTTATCCCTTTGTCTGTCTCCACATTCATTTGCTACAGAAAGTACTCATTAGAACTGTAAAGCTAAGCAATTTGTATAAACAATTGGGGTTGGGTAGCTCTCCTGTTGGAATGAAGGCCTGGTGGCCACTGGTGCCCAACAGTTCTATTTATCTCCAGGTCTTTACCGTCCTGGCTTGTCTGCAGCTCCTTCCTGGGCTCTTTGGCAACAGTCACCATCTTCAGATGACTCAGGTTTCACCATGACTACACCATAAAAGCAGGGAACTGCCAGAAACTTGGAAAAACAGACACATTCAGTCTCTGACAACTTAAACTTTCTAATTCATGGAGAAAAGTTTTAGATAGTGGCATTTTAATATGGGGCAAATCACAAAAGAAAAAAAGGTCAGCAAAGGGATCTCATGACAAAGCTATACGCTAAATAAAGGAGTTAGCAGCACCTAGAAAAACTGTGGTTTTTGAAGTCCAGGAATTTGCTTTCCTCCCTTTCCTGTTCCACCCTTTTCACCCTGCTGAACAGCTTGCAGTGGTCCCTTATGTCCTCTCCTAAGGTTAGCCTATCTTTAGTGGCCGACTTCTTGTCCAAACAGGACTGGGGTTCGGTGAAAAGTATCTGAGTGGATCTTTAGGTGCAGACCCCATCTCTGAACAGCTGTTACTGCTGGTCTGGTCTCCTCACCTCTATTGTTCAGTGAGGAGACCTAGGTCAAATGCAGGCTGTGTTAAGCACTAAATTAGTACTTCTCTAACTCTAAAGTATATGAAGATTCACATTAAAATGCAGACGTTGATTCAGCAGATCTAGAGTGTGGCCTAAGATTCAGCTTCACTTCAGCATACAATAGGCCACAGGAGGTCTACCCAAAAACCAAATGTAGAGTCAATTCTGTCTCCCAGTGACCCTATAGGACAGGGTAGAACTGCCCCGTAGGGTTTCCAAGGAGCAGCTGGTGGATTCAAAGTTTGACCTTTTGGTTAGCAGCCAAGGTCTTGACCACTGCCCTACCAAGAGGTCTACAGGTAGAGGCAAATCCAGGGGGGGTCTATGAGTCAGAATCAACTCGACGGCAACAGATTTGGCTGGTTTGGATTTTAACGACAAAAGCTGAAAACAACAAGAAAGTTATTTTAAAGCCTTTACTTCATAGAGGTAGATCAATAAATCAGGGTTTATTCTAAAGGCAGGCAAACGTAAGAAGGAGTTCAAAAGATTAGTTGATAATGTTACACTCCAAGAAGGCTTATAGAAAGATTTAGAACCACCTTGTTATTTTATAAAATTAACTTATGAAGATTTTAAATTGATGCAACCTTCCTCCTCATACCTTCTTTCTCACAGTACACACTTGCTGAAAAGCTTAATCACACAGAAATGTTGGCATGTGGATATCCACAGAAATGTGGCTATTAACATGCCTGATACAGAGTAGATACTCAATAAAATTTGTTGAAAGGATTCATGAAAAATGTTCATCTCCAACTTGTTTTTTTTTTTTAATTAAGAAAAAGTGAAAACAACCTGAACATCTAATAAGAGATTGTGTTAAATAAATTATGCTATGCCCATGCAATGGAATACTGTGAAGTCATCAAAAATTATGCAGTTGTATTAGAGATGAATTATCTAGAGATGAAGATTCATAATATGCTGTTGAGGAGGGAAAGTCTGTTTAATAAAACAGAATTTAAATGTGATTTCATTTTTGTAAAAATAAAGTGTATATATGGGTACATATACATTACAGATATAAGCACTGAAAAAAAGACTTGAAGGACATCCACCAAAATGTTATCGGTATCCTGTTGATTACCTGTATCTACCAAGTTTTCTACAATGAATATATATTACTTTCCCTTTAAGGAGACAACAATAAAAGTAGTGTTGTTTTAGTTAATAGTCTTTGAGACATCTTAGAAACTCTCTTTTGAATAAAGTTCATAAATTTTTATACCAGAGAAAAAAAAATCACGTCTCTCCCATGAAAACTGAATGGTGTTTGGCATTAGAATCCCATGCCGTTCCCATGTCTCTCTTGAGCTATCTTTAGGATGGGGTTCAATCAGAAAAGCAGGACCACTGTAAGTGAGACAGCCCTTCTCATGCAGTTGTGGGAGCTGGCAAAGAAAGCAGTCCATGCAAGCCACTGCCTCTGCATCTTCCAGTGTAGAGCCTAAAGTCGCTATAAATCAGCTGCAGTGGCAGTAGGGGAGAAAAGTTAAATGTGGATGAAAATAAGAGAAAACAAAAGAGAACTAGAACCCACGAGGACAACTGGAACCTGGAACCCATAAGGTCAAAATGGAACCCATGTCTCTCTCACCACCTCCAACTTCATGGGTAACCTGCAGAAGAAGTTGACATCGTTCACCCAGAGCTACACACACACTTGGCCGAGAATTCAGAAATGCTGAAGGGGCAGATCCTCTGAGAACTGAAGGAGCTATGGCCTAGTGCTGTCCCATGCCCAGAAAGTGAGCTAGCGGATTAATGACAATACGTGTGAGCTGCCCACCTGCCTAGAACCCTGCACCAACCTTCATAGAGTAAAAAAATACAGCATCTGCTTCACTGCAGGCTTCCAAATCTCATACAAAAGGTCTCTTGTGGCCAAGACCAACGCAGAACCACACAAGGAAGAGAAGTCTAAAAAACTTAGTTATTTGCATTTCTTCCTTATTTTTATATGAATACACGTGTGCATATATTAACGATTTTTTTCCTTCTTTAGCTTAGCTAAAATGGCACAATACAAAGCCACCACAGTCCACCCTTCACCAACCTGGCATCCATACATGCCCCTTTAACCATATTTAACTGACAAATAAAGACAATAGCAAAATCATGCTTTCATCTAACATGATGCAACTATCCTTTATACAACCAAAAAAAGCCCTAACCCTCACTCCAAGAGAATACAAAGTCGCTTTATCCATCTTCCAATGTTGTTCATGCCTCTTCTAGCTGAATCATATTCTCCCTTTGATGTCCTATATGTTAAATACTTAAGTATGAGGTTAACTACTTGTCATAGATTGAATTATGTCCCCCCAAAAATGTGTGTATCAATTTGGCTGGTCTATGATTCCCAGTATTGTGTAGTTGTCCATTTTGTGATTGTAATTTTATGTTAAATAGGATTAGGGTGGGATTGTAACATCCTCACTAAGGTCACATCCCTGATCCAATGTACAGGGAGTTTCCTTGGGATGTGGCCTGCACCACCTTTTATCTTACAAGAGGTAAAAGGAAAGGAAAGCAAGCAGAGAGTGGGGGACCTCATACCACCAAGAAAGCAGTGCCGGGAGCAGAGCGCGTCCTTCGGCCCCGGGATCCCTTTGTGGAGAAGTTCCTAGTCTGGGGAAAGATTGATGAGAAGGCCGACAGAGACAGAGACTTCCTCTGGAGCTGACGCCCTGAATTTGGACTTTTAGCCTACTTTACTGTGAGCAAATAAACTTCTCTTTGTTAAAGCCACCCACTTGTGGTTATTTCTGTTATAGCAGCACTAGATGACTAAGACACTACTATTAGCACATCTTATGTTATATTGTAGAGGAACAGGAAGAAGAAGGAAAAAAATCGTTAATATATACACACATGTATTCATATAAAAATACGGAAGAAATGCAAATAACTATTACAGCCTCTGTTTCTGCTATAATATTTATAATTACCTTCTTCCATTACCCATTCTACATTTTCTTTGCCCTAAGCAAGCATCTAGGCTGGTCATGGTTCCTTGCCTGGCAGGGTGACCCAAACCTTCATTCCTGAAGGGTCTGGGACATCAGCAGTTCGCTCTGTATTATATGGTAATTTTCTATTGACTTTAATTAATCACTGGACCTGGGAGTACTGAGACATCCCAGGAAATCTTCTGCATTCCAGAAATACTCCTTACTTCCATTGTATAGTGGCAACCCCTTGACAATTGGCTCATTCAATCACTCCAGTCAGTTCAATAGCTCCTTTTTTGGCTGTGGTTTCACTGTCATGAGGAGCCCTAAGTGGCCAGGTGGCAGTCTTAACTGCCAGTTTAGCTGAACCATTGCAGTGTCCCCTAGTGGAAGCATTCCTCTCTTGGGAACTAAACCAGCAAAGCACAATGTCGCACGGATGGGAAGCAATAATTCACTAATGAATCAACAGGGGTAATAAAAGAACGACTTTCATTTCCATCCCGTTATTCCCAGATCTGTGAAACTGACTTTGGGAAAATTAGCACCATTCTAGTTACTGATTTAGGAGATGTACAAC